CCCCCCCCCCCCTCGCACGCTTAGCAATTCGATTAAGGGTCAGAAAAATAATTCCTCTCGCCCCCTCATCAAAGAACCAAAAATTCGACGCCCCCCCCCGTGTGTCCTCTAAGAATGACACATCAAAAATCAATTATTTGATTAATCATTAAAAAATTAATTAAAAAACCGGCCGATGCCATCCCACTTCGGCATTTACTGCCCACATTCGGCAGGCGGCTGACCTGCGACTGCTGCTATGCTGCTGACTTGACCGACCTACTCGGTAATTCGGCGCTGCCGCCAACTTGCGGAATCCCCCCCACACGACGTTCTGGTGGCATTAAGTAGACTAGCAGTAATTTCCTCAAATTCATCAAAAGAACTCAATTAATGAGTGACAACTGACACTAATCTTCTGACAATTAACTTCCCAATCATTATTCCACTTTATTCCGATCATTTTCATGCTTTTTAGGCCCAAAAATGCACATCTACACACATCTATGGAACATCCACGATATACCGTAGATGCCAGATCGCCAGGGAAACTAGTGGGCGCAAATTGGTCCAAATAGTTCAGCTTTTAATATTTACTCATGGATTTCAGTCATTTTCGCCTTTTTTACACGAAAATGAACAGCCACGCTTCTCCGTGGTTGTACCGTGGCTCCTAAATCGCCAGGGTACCTAAACGTTTTCAAAATATTTCCATATTAACGAAACTTTCATGTTTGGAGAAGATGAAATCAATTCACTACTTTACTACTAATTGAACTTTCAAACTTAATAATGCAACATACGTTGAACTATGAAATTGAAAACTGTATTTAATATTCAATAATACAACAAAAAATAATAACATGTGTTTCTGAAAAAACGTAATTGGAAGGGCCTAAAAATGTAATCATAAGACATCTCTATGGTTTTTGGCTATGAAAAGAAGAGTGTAAAATTGAGACTGTTTCATTTATTTACACCTGAGTGTCTTATACCTTAAGCAATTATACATAAAATTATTTTCTTCCTCACGCTTCTATTTTATTTTTTTTCATTATGATATACTTCCCCATTAATCCTATTTAACTCTTAGAGTGGAGATGAGAGGGTCTTGATCGCTACTTTCACAGCTTCGAACTCATCTTTGTAATCCTCATGCTCTTTTATGAGGACCATAAGGCTGCCTCGTTTTACCCCCATCGCTGTACCGATGTCTTGTTTCGTTGGGACGTAAACATATGGAATTTCCTTGTCCTCACAGACCACCGGTAAGTGACACATTATTTCGATTGGAAATACGTCACCAGCGAAAATTAGAATCCTAAGGAGAATAAAATAATAATGATTTTATTAGCTAGGAGTTTCCAGAACATTCTCTGAAAATCACTTAATTTTGAGACTATCGCATAATAAGAAAAAAATTCATATTTGACTATGAATCAGCTTGTGCGAACCCGCAAAATCGATCAGGTCTGCGATTTTCTCTAGTTATTCCGATATTTCGTCATATATCACCAATTATTCAATGGGTCCCAAGGCCCAGTGAAGACTTTTAAATTTCACCGACGGATCCATTTAACCCTCCTGAACTGGCTAGATCTCTTACGTCTCACTTGCACTGCAGTGGCGCCCTATAGGTTGAGTAGTTGGCGGCGGTGCGCCACTCTACCCGCTAGTTCAGGAGGGTTAGATAGTTTCAGAAATAAGTAATGTGAGAGTAAACATTTAAGACATGTTTTCTTTTGGAAGATTCACGAAGTGCAAAAAAATTTAGATATTTTTTCATAAGTGGTTTATATTTCAGCTAATTGAACCAGTAGCATTATATTTGAGGTTTCTTTGTGCTTGAAAAAGTATCACATCTCTCCAGGTTTTCTACAAAAATGCATATATATCAAAATGATTATACAGAGGGTCCCAAAATTGATCTGACATCGTGACGGTAGCNGGGGGGGGGGGGGGGGGGGGATTATTTGGAGGCGAAAACTAATGAAATTTTTGACGACGGCGCGTCGTTAAAAACTTATTTGTAAACAAAGCAATAATCCACCGCAAATCACCCTCTTTTTGAAAATTTCTATCTCCTCTCTCACTTCGGCTGGAGGTATGGAAATGATGGCAATCAATTGGGCATTTAATGGACAATGATATAAATAAAAATTGTTCTTCTATCATCTTGCCAAGGTGAGAAAATCCGCAATTAATTTCAACGCGGCGTCAGAGCCATTTGGTTCATTTGGCCATGTGACCCGAAAAATCAGTCACCGTAAAAAATTCATATCTCCACTCTTATTCAATTTCAAGAGATGAAATCGATTGGAATCGATTGCACATTCAATGCCATCATCACTCCACCATAAATGAGAAAGGGGGTATGCTCTCTCTATCGGAGAGTAGCGTTTAAGTGACTGTCCTTTTTTTCATGATAACTTATACACAAAACGTCGGCGACAAAAATTTGATGAGTTTTCGTCTCCAAATAACTCCCTCGAGCTACCCTCATAATATATCAGATGTTTTGGGATACGCCGTATCATTAATAAATATTACCCATAATTTTTAAGAAAAGCATTGCTTCATTACATTAGAACATTGTTGTTGACCCAACCTATGCCATTTAATTTTTAACAATGTCGAGCAAACAATATCAAGCATCCTAGTATTTGTCGACCAAGTGCAAATATAATTAACTAGTGCAAATACGTCAGACGTTAATTAGCACATCCTTGAAACTCTAAATCCTCCTTGCATTTAACACTGCGAATATCAATAAAAATAAATTAAGTAATTAACACATACCCTTTCTCCCCCTTTCGTAGATGTTTCTGGACGTCTTTAAGACCGTTCCTGAGGTAAGTTTTGTGTTTGGAAGCTGAGGGTCATGAATTAGCAATTAATAAATATTAAAAACGATTTTCAATTGAGAAATTCAATTATTATGGCTGTTATTTCACCTTTTTTAATACATTTGTAAATCTTTCTGGTTAGTTTCTTTGGGGCCATGGGCTGCGCAATAGGACTGCAGTTTTGAATTTTATTCTCATAAGACTCCTTTGCACCCTCAATATCTGCACCCTCCTCAGGTTCATCCTTCTTTGGTTTTCCTTCACCCATTGTTTATTCAATTTTTTTACTGACAAATAAGGAGGAAATACCGCTATGCCACAAAACACGTGTATCAGGAGGTTCCAACCATAGAGGATTAACTAAAGTAGAGGCTCAGTTCTCCAGGGGCAGGTGACCCCAAGATAAAATAGTAAGTGCCCCATGGGAGGGATGGCGCAACGATTGATTTAGGCCTCTGGGCGAGCTGGCTGCGCCGGTAACTCGTTAGTAGCGGCAGAGATTATAAGGGAGATGAGCAGGGCCAATGTAAAGTGTTCAACCAGAGATTATAGGGGAGATGAGCAGGGCCAATGTAAAGTGTTCGACAGCAAGATTTGTAGCGGTGGCGCATGGACTAGGATGGAGCGTACGAAACTGTTGGTATGGTAGGGCCCGAATATAAATTTGTCGATAACCGGAAAGGGGTTCTCAATACAGTAACGCCTAGCATTTTCTAATAATTGTCAGGAATGTAAAATCGAACATATTATAATCAATACTATAATGAATGCACAATCTAATGATCTAAAAGTCTTTTGCCTTTTTCTCGACATATTTATTATTGACACGTAGGTAAAAAAATTCATAGAAAATCCCAGCGCTGTCGCTGGAAAACTATATAGTTTCCCAGTGATTCTAATGAATAATTGTGCAGATTTTGTTTTTTTTTTACTATAGTAATGTTCGATTATATATATTTATTCCCCCCCTGAGTGAGAAAGGAATATGTATCGCGCTCGCTCCCACATTGACGTCGCCGTCGCGTTGGCACATGCCTACTCCAATGAACGAAGGTCTAACATACGAATCTATGCTGATCAGGCTCCATTTTTGATACAATTTGTGATTTGGGCGTATGAAACTAATAGCGGATGTTTAAGGTTCCACAAGTTTGTGCGGGGGTTGAAAAAGGTAAAAAACTACCGCTGAAAACGGTTTTTTCGAAATAACTCGTGAATAACGCGCTGGACGTTCAAAAACGTAATATACAAAGTTGTAGAGCTCAAAATTCTACACAAAAAATGTTTGGGGCACATTACCCCTATGCCCAACCGTTCATCCCGCAGAGCGGCGTGAAGATCAGATGGGAAAAAAAAATGTTTTCTATTTAAAAAATTGAAGTTAATGAATTTTTTTTTTGTAATTCGGAATATCAGTGTTTTTTTTCAATAGCTTGTTTATTTATTCAGAGCGAATTTAATATATGTTGCTATTTATATCTTGACATTGAATCAATGAATTTCTTTTTTTTTCTTCCATATTTTTTATTAGAACATTTACCACAAATTTTGTTTTGATCGTACCCGCGAATCTGCTATGGATTCAAACTTAAACGCAATTTTCTAGCTCCAACCCCTAAATCCGGCGCCAGGAATGAGAAACTTTTGTGCGAGAGAGAAGACTCCGTCTCGCTCCCACTCCCTACAGCTATTCACCCTACCGTTTGCGCATGCGCGCACGGGCCTGTGGAACATCACATACTGGATGCGAGAAATAGTATATTTCGTCACTGGGCCGAAAAAAAATTTTCTGGCGAATATGAGTTTGCAGCCCGAGCCGAAGGCGAGGGCTGCAATCATATGAGCTAGAAAAGTATTTTTTGGCCATATGACGAACAGTATTTTTTGTTATGACGGCCGTAGGCAGAGACTCCACTCCGTTCCGCGTCCGTCCGTCCGTGNCCCCTGAGTGAGAAAGGAATATGTATCGCGCTCGCTCCCACATTGACGTCGCCGTCGCGTTGGCACATGCCTACTCCAATGAACGAAGGTCTAACATACGAATCTATGCTGATCAGGCTCCATTTTTGATACAATTTGTGATTTGGGCGTATGAAACTAATAGCGGATGTTTAAGGTTCCACAAGTTTGTGCGGGGGTTGAAAAAGGTAAAAAACTACCGCTGAAAACGGTTTTTTCGAAATAACTCGTGAATAACGCGCTGGACGTTCAAAAACGTAATATACAAAGTTGTAGAGCTCAAAATTCTACACAAAAAATGTTTGGGGCACATTACCCCTATGCCCAACCGTTCATCCCGCAGAGCGGCGTGAAGATCAGATGGGAAAAAAAAATGTTTTCTATTTAAAAAATTGAAGTTAATGAATTTTTTTTTTGTAATTCGGAATATCAGTGTTTTTTTTCAATAGCTTGTTTATTTATTCAGAGCGAATTTAATATATGTTGCTATTTATATCTTGACATTGAATCAATGAATTTCTTTTTTTTTCTTCCATATTTTTTATTAGAACATTTACCACAAATTTTGTTTTGATCGTACCCGCGAATCTGCTATGGATTCAAACTTAAACGCAATTTTCTAGCTCCAACCCCTAAATCCGGCGCCAGGAATGAGAAACTTTTGTGCGAGAGAGAAGACTCCGTCTCGCTCCCACTCCCTACAGCTATTCACCCTACCGTTTGCGCATGCGCGCACGGGCCTGTGGAACATCACATACTGGATGCGAGAAATAGTATATTTCGTCACTGGGCCGAAAAAAAATTTTCTGGCGAATATGAGTTTGCAGCCCGAGCCGAAGGCGAGGGCTGCAATCATATGAGCTAGAAAAGTATTTTTTGGCCATANTATCTCTGTCTCTCTGTCTCTCTGTCTCTCTGTCTCTCTGTCTCTCTGTCTCTCTGTCTCTCTGTCTCTCTGTCTCTCTATCTCTCTGTCTCTCTGTCTCTCTGTCTCTCTGTCTCTCCGTCTCTCTGTCTCTCTGTCTCTCTGTCTCGCTGTCTCTCTGTCTCTGTCTTTCGGTCTCTCTGTCTCTCTGTTTCTCTGTCTCTCTGTCTCTGTCTCTCTGTC